CTACATCCAAGCTAATAATGTAGATTTTTTTTTTTCAGTCAATAGGGAGAAAAATATCACTTGGAGGGTGTAATCCATCTTTCTTCAAAGTATATGCCTAAGATAAGCCAGATAAATTGGATCTTAAATGGATCCACTGGCTACAAAGATTGCTAAGGCAGCTAATTCAGATGTAGACACCTGTTTTGGAGATAGGCGAGAACCCAGTGAAGGTATTCTGAAACAGATTATTAAGATTAATGGACATCTGATCTATTCTAGTTTAAGTATTCTTGTGTTTCTGTGTGCTCTTACTACATCATTTACACAGCTGTTGTGGCCTGGAGCAAAGCACTATAATGGTACTAGAGAGTCTGTGGAGGCAGATGGGATATATACATGGATCTGAAGTGGTTCTTCTTGGACATAGAGTGCATTTTCAGGCTTTTAAATTATATACATTTTTGGTGGGAGAAGTAAAAACTGCTGTTCTGTTCTCCCTTTCATAGTGTCTACAAATCTGTTAAAAAGCCTTCCAATTATGTGCCAATCCACCAAAAAAACATACCAGCTTAAGAAAGGGTTTGCATTACTGTATGAAGTGTGGGAGTTGCTGCAATCAAGAGAGTACATCTGAAAAAGAAACTGGAAAGATGCCAATGTAGCAGGCACTGGGTAAATGAGACTCCCTACATGGGAGATATAAGGCAGGCAGCACAGGACATTAAAGGTATTTGTGACTCAATACTTTTAAAAAGCCATGACTTCCCTCCTAGCAATGTCTGGACTGGACCCGTTCTGTCTTTAAACACAAAATTTGCCTGAAGAAAGGTTTCAAAAGAGAAAGTATTAAAATTAGGTCCCAGCAGCCTAAAACAATTATTTTCAAAATAAATATGGCTATATATATACAGTGTTTGTTGTTATGTTTGTGAGAAGTTCTTCCTCAAGCTTCCTTAGTGCCCCAGGGTACTGCAACAATATTATTCTTCCTAGCCACTCATTGACAGTAGTTGAGTGGGGATTTTAAAGTCGTTAACAGGCAGACCCTTATGAAGAGCTTTCCCCAGTATATGCAGTAACACATTACTCTTATGTTTATATTCATTACTCAGGTACCTGAAATCACCTTCCAGTCTCTGTCTGCAGCATACCTTTGCTATGTATATTGGAGAGCATGTTCTCAGTGTTTTGCTATCTCTTTGCTGTTGAGGGATTTTTCTGCAGGTTGCCTTTAAATTTCATTTTGCACTACTTAAACAGATAACACTCACAAATCTTTCGTAGTAATTTAGGTCTTCTTTATACTTTAATGATTTACCAGTTTCTGGCTAGTTCTCACCCTCCTACCAGCTTCCTACTGGATCTGTTGTGGTATGAATTGACACAGCATCCAGTAATGGTCAGATCAGCCCCAAATACACAGCTAAATCAATATTCCTAGTCCAACTGAATTAATTAATTTATTTATATGCATTTTTATATGGAAATTTGGTTTATTGTTTTGCTGCAATGTTGCTCGTTTCCACTTGATCAAGGTTTCTGACTCATGTCTTTGACAAAGTTACAGCTTTCTAGCATAAAGAACCCCAAGAAGAAATGGCTTCAAGTTGCTCTGGGGGAGATTTAGATTGTGTATCAGGACAAATTTCTTTGCAGAAAGTGCTGTCAAGCACTGGAACAGACTGCCCATGGAAGTGTCAAAGTCACCATTCCTGGAGGTATCTAGAAAAGGTGTTAGGTGTGGCACTTAGGCACAGGGTTTAGTGGTGGACTTGGCAGTGTTAGGTTAACAGTGGACTTGATGTTCTTCAAGGTCTCTTCCTACTTAATCTGTTATATTCTATTCCATTTGATTGTTTTTTGTTAATTTCTTTCAACTGATTGCTTGAAGAAAAAAAAGATACTAAAATTTCCACCAAAATTAATATTGGAAAAAAAACGCTCCTAGAGAAGACAAATTTTCCTGCAAAGGGTGTTCCTCCTCAGTATTTAAGAACTTTCCCTAACATAGTGGAACACTCCTGAGGAAAGGGCAGTAGGGTATAAACCCTTGCCCAGTGACAGATGGATGACATTCCTCATAACACATTGCTTTTCATCTTATCAGTCATTTGTTCAAGACCAGAAGTCACTTTTTGAGTTACAAATGGCATCCTACTTTCATCTGGATTTTTTCAAAACCTTCAATCAGGATGTTTGGTAAAGCCAAAGCTTCTTACTTTACAGAGCTTACAAATATGCAGGGGAAACATGGTGGCTCTTTTATTGCCTTGGGTTAACCTGGCTTCCTGGAGAACGCACGTAACTTCCCTTGATCAACACAGAAATTAATCTGACTCAAGATTTTGCATCACAAAGAGAGGTCTCAGTCTTCAAACTCTTTCTTGGGCCTTTGCTACTGTTCTTAAATTACCAAACTAACCCTTTCCTGCTACTTCCCAAACCCTTGGTCTCAAATACAGCGTTCTGAATGGCATTCTATAGTAAATCATCACTCAAAATGGATTCCCCATCAGTGCTCGCTCTGGGCAATGAAAAACTGCTTTAAGATATTTTTATCACCCGACTGCCATGCAAACATGCTACATCTGTGAACACAAGAACTTCTGGGCAAAGAAAATTTCATACTCGTCAAAACGTACAAGTCTCCATCCCTACATACTGTTAATCCCAAGATCTCACTTTACGTGTTATTGACCCTCAGAGATTTGTAATTCCTCCATTTTTCTCAACAAATCCCTTTCTCGTTCCAAACAGCCAACAAAGACTTTGCTGAGAAACCTCCAGTAGAAAATTTACTCAGTAGTAAGTCTTGCTACAAGGCGACGACAGCGGGTCCTTAACAGTGAGCTGGCATCCTACAAAGGTGAAAAGAAATCATGTCTAAAAGTCAACCAATCTACAGGTATATAACCTAAAACACTAGTACTTAATTATGGATTGGACACAATTTCTTGTCCAAATCCTGAAACCTGCCATGAAAAATACCTCTGGTCTCCTGATCTCCTTTGAGTTCTTTTGGAGGTGTTGCTTCCTATCTGCCCTGATTTAGATACAGGAATACTTTTGCTTTTTTATTTTTTTTTCTTAGAGCCTCTCTTTTCAGTAATATGTGACTCTCCACATCTCTTTTATCTTTTACTTCTTTATCTTTTTCTCTCCTCTTATTTGTTTTCTCAACATTTTTCTCAGCCCTTCCAGTTTCCCTATCTCCTATTTCTTTCACCATTTCTCTCTCCTATTCCCCCTTGCTTTAAATTTCCTCAGCCCCCTTTTCTCCATCTTTTCCCACTTCTATTTGCATCATGATTTCCAACCTGCAAAGAAATGCTATCCTCACAGGCTCTGCAGCACTCTTTGATCACCCTATAGCCTCTGTGAGCAAGCTCCTCCAGCAGTTCCAGTGCTCCAGGTAACCCAGAGAGTCCAAGGAGGTTGAGAGGCACTTGCGCTGCAGCAGGAACCAGAGGGGGGCTCGCGTTGCCCTGAAAGGTGAAGCAGAGAGGGTCAGTTTGCCAAAGCAGAGAGATTGGCAAGAAAATATGGTGCCAGCCACATGCCGCCTCATTCCTGTTCCCCCAATTAAAGCAGCCTGTAGGGAAACTAGCATGCCACTGTAGTGCACTGGTGTACTGACCCCTCCGAGTGCTTGTTAGTGCTCACCATACTCAGCATTTCCTCTCCCTGATTGATAGGACGATATGTGTGTGTATGGCAGAGAGCAGATTCATTACAGCACATTAGCCAGACAGGCAGACAAATGCCCACAGGGGCAGAAAAGCTCTAAGGAATAAATAAAAACTTTATTATTTTTCTAAAACTTCATTTCCCCAGGCTACAGTGAAGAATACTGGAGGAACAGGAGAGTGGAGAGAGCCCGGAAGAGAAAGGGAATGGTTAAAACTGGAAGGAAAGTTTATTAGCAGTCAAAGAAAAGTTTAAAATATTCATTGTTGTATTCAGAGTTTGAATCTCTATTTATATTTTTATTTTCAGTCCCACTGCAAACTAGGAAAGAAACGTTCAGTGCATCAGATACCAAGTTATCAGAACATTCCTGATGTAACATGTCTGAAATGTCTGAAACCTGGCTGCTCCATTTATTGAAATTTATAATTCCTCAGTTTTAAAAATGAAAAACAAACCAGTGCCAGCCTTTATCAACAGCTGCCACCATGTGGTATTTAAAATAACACAATTACTTGCAAATAGAAAGAAATATGGTGGCATCACCTAATCTGCCCAGTGACGGGTTTTTGGCCTCCACTTGGTAACTCACAGCTCACAAGAGGTGATGTGGCTGTGGGGCAGCTCTGCACCCCTGCATGCACTCTGCTAAGGCCAAGAAGTAGATAGCCTGTGCAAAATTGTCCTGGACACTGCAGCCACTGTACCAAGCCATTTGCCCATCACCCAGCCCACTGTCCACAACTGCCCTAGGCCAGATGGTCAACAACCATGCATGTAAAAAGTGCATTCCCAAATGGCTGGTGCCAAAAATTTTCTGCTAGGCACATATTTACCAGGGTGCAGCATCCTCTTTGCCTGTGTCACGAGAGGCTGCCTGCTCTGACAAGGGGCAAGAAAGCAAAAATGGAGCTGCTGGATTCTGTTCTCACTGCCCACTGGCTGGATCTTAGCCTATCTGCTGTCTAGAAATACACTGTGGTGTTGAAAGGCAACTTCAGAAACATTCCACTATCCAACAGGAAGATAAAGTGCAAATTGTCAGCCCTGGACGATTAGAGAGTTGATCCAAAGATTAATGATTTAAAGAACATAATTTGAGACAGCACAGGGACAAGATTTATTTAGTTTTATACCTCAGTATTTGCTTGCTTGAGCCCTATATATTTTTTAGAACATTGTAATTCTAGCAGCTTCATTCTCACCTCTCTCCTGATTTCATTTAGGTGCACTCCAAAATGAGCTAAATGTGTTACAATTAAGAATAGCTTTCAGCAGATAACGCAGCATTCTGAAATCTGCTTTGTAAATATCTACAGTAATATAGGTACCTCTGAGATTGCTGGAGCTTTGTTTGATGAAAAGTGTGTTCCCACTGGAAAAAATCCATTGAATGCAGGATTCTGTGAAACTGGCATATGACACTGTGAATAATGTGCATGGGCTTCTTCTCGAGGGTGCCTGTCTGGCCACTTTTGATCCTGTAGTTTTCCTCTGAGCTGAAACTGTAGTCCAGTAAGTGCCTGCAGCATTGCTTTATTTCTTCCCTTCCCACTATTCGCAGAGCTGAAAAAATCACTATAAAACACACACACAAAATAAAAGCAGCAATTTAATTCCTTGAACAATATACATGTACTATTAAAAAAAAAACAACAACAACAACAAAAAAAAAAAAAAAAAAAAAACAAAAACAAAACTTCAGTATAAATCCAAATTAATATTATGGTTATAGGGCACCCAAAAGAACACAATTCCAAATATAGTACTGGGAAAAAAAAAAGAAAAAAAAAACAAAAAAGGGGAAAAAAAGATGAGAAGAAACAGTTGGCATTCAGTTAATAATCATGTTTGGAGGTTTGTGACTGACTTTGTTATTCCAAGGGAAGCCAGGTACCAGGCTCTTGGGATTAGGTACAAAGGCAAGAAAAAAGTGGACACGTATGAATCTCAAAGGTGACTGCTGGGTTAATAAAACAGTCTGTTTTCTGTTCACCCACTCTTCCTCTCAGTGTGCAAGTACATTAAAATATGTCAAAAGGAAAGCCATTTGCTGGAGAAAAATAATTCAGCTAAAAGTCCAAATTTCCAGCTGGTGTGTTGCCTTAGTGTGTGCAAGTGCGCTAACAAAGTGACCCACACATCTCACTGGATGAAAGTTGGTATCCTCATTAAAGTAGAAACAAACACTTGAAAACAGGAACAACTGCCAGTCGAAAAAAGGACCACAATTGAAATGAGAAGCCTTCATTTTTCCCCATTCTGTTTCCCACTTGCTCTATAGCAGATACTATATATACATTTAAGTAACTGCTTGAAAAATAATGAAAGAAAAACTGATTTTGTATGCAGTAACCATTCCCATTTGCTGGAGGAATTGCATTGCTAACAACCATCCACATTATCATCGTGTGTTTAGAAGAAGAAATATTTTCACAGTCCAGTTTCTAAACTGCCACATACAACACAACGGTTGGCTCCTGCAAAGAGTCACCCTTTCAAAAGGGAGTAGCTCTGGGGAAGAAAACCTTAAATCAGAATTGCTCACACTAGAAAGTGATTGTAGGATCAACCTCCAACCCTTTAAAATAAAAGCACGTTTATAGTGGCATATACTGCCTTTGCCCCAGGAAACACAATGAGACTTGAACACAATCACTAATTCACTGTACTGTGAACATTTTATGTAATGTGAACAGCACGAGACATTAGATCTTCCTTGGCCCAGGCCCTGGCAGAAAGCACTATTAGATAAACAGAAAGCAAAACGAGGGAAGTGGTATACCACAGTGTGAGCAGCCCTTTGTTTATTGGTGACATGATTTTCCCTGGGGGTGAAAAGAAAAAGAAAAAAAAAAGAGTAAAGAAGTATTCTAAAATCTCTAATGACCTCAGCAGAGTTTATTATGATGAACCACAGAATCCCTTCATGGGTGAGGTTGGAAAAACCTCTGTGGATCATCTAATCCAACTGCCCTGATCAAAGTCAGATCAGCCAGTATGTTGCTCAGGGCTGTGTTGAATTTCAAATACTATCAAGGACAGAGATTATGCAGCCTCTCCAAGCAAACTATTCCAGTGTTTGATCATGTATACACTAAAAAAGTAAATTTTCTTATGGAATTGAAATTTCGCCCATTTCAGTTTGTGCCTATTGCCTCTTGGCCTATCATTGGGCACCTCCAAGACCCTTTTTTAGCTCCACATTTTTGCTCCCCATCCAGTAGGTGTTTACACACACAAAGGTCATCCTGAGCCTTCTGTTCTCCAGGTTGAACAATGGTAGCTCTCTTACCCTCTCAAAACTCACAAGTTCCAAGCCCTTCACCATCTTTGTGGCCCCTTGCTGACTCCAGTACATCCCTTCCCTACTAGGCAGCTCAGAACTGGAGCCAGCCCTCCAGCTGTAGCCTCTCCAGTGCCGAGAGGAAAAATGCAGTTATACACCGTGGTTTCTCAATGCACGCAAGGAGAGGCTGTTGGACTTTCTTTCTGTTGAAAGGATGTGCTGTGGGCTCATAGCCCACCACAGTCTCCAGGACCTCCTCTGCAAAACTGCTTCCCAGAGAGCCACAGATAGAACAAGGACCTGGCTTTGTCTTTCAGTGCACCTTCAGTTCAGGCTCTGATATTACATGCATCACAAAAACTATAGCATTGCTTCTCACAGCAGCCTCTTCTAATAGATACAAGCAAGAGAAACAGCTGAGGAAAAGTCTAGCTAACGCATCTGTGCTGATTCAAAAACAAAATGAAATAAAGTACTCTATCTTCTAACTGCTGATGTCCTTCCTTGGCCACAGAGATTTCTGCCATACACAGGCTTTGATCCATTGTGCCTGTATTATTTACCAGCTCTACAGGTACAGCTCTCTATGCTCTACAGCATACTCAGCTCCAGACTAAAGCTCAGCAAAAACTGAAGACTTCCCATGTGCCCGGAAAGTCACCTCACTCTTGTGTCAGAGCATCAGGCTGCCTTAACCATGGGACCAGCTGGTGCTGCTTCCCAGCTGTTCTGCAGTGTGAACCATTTCTCTTCCTTACCTCCCTGGCCCTCTATCCTATTTTGGAGAGAGTACTTCAATGTGAATACCTGCAAAGTTCTGAAATATGAAAAATGAGAAAGTGGCTTTACCTGCCCCTTTCTGGTCACCACCATCATCTTATCATGCCTGTTTGGTGGTCACACTTGCATACTGAAAACCTAATCTTGCAGTCCTTTTGCAAACTAAACTCCCCATTGACTGATATGTCTTTGTATTAAAAAATTTACTGGATATGCAAAGCAGCAGTTCTGAACAAAGGAATTTAGTTATTTTTCTTTTAGTTTTTCCCTTCCAAAAATGCCCTAAGGCAGTCATCTATTTCAGTCAATGGAAGGCTGAACTGTTCAATCAAAAAAAAATCTATTTTTGCGCAATAGAAACATAAAAGACATCTAAAAGCTGCAAATATTATTTTTGTACACATTGAGGACCAGATGTCTTCACATTTCATTGACCTTTTTGTTAACTCTTTACTTGCCTACTTTTTGCCTGGAGCTACTTTTGACAGTGAAGAAATATGTGTTTATTAAGGAATACATACTATGATCTTTTAGTTACATTATTGGGGAAAGAAGGGAAAGAGGACACAGTTACATATACAAACATTCATTATAAAAGACATACAAAAACATCAAACATTCTTCCATTTATAAAATATGTATTTATCTGAGCAATTTTACAATTTTTAAAAAAATGTAAAAATCCAACCTAACTTACATGGTTTACACAATATCTTACAAGTAGACACACAAATAGTAAAACCTATTAATTTCTACAGCAATTTCAAATACAAGTTGCTTTATTCAAAAGTGATTAAGTAGTACCAGGAAACTTTTTTTAAATCATGCAATATCTTTTTGTTTTATTTTTTATAGTTTTGAGCTTTCAAAATTTTCTAGTCAGATCATCAAGTCAAAGAATTCCAGTGGAAACAAAAAAAATTTGAAAGCCCTGCTAAAATCAAAGCTATGTATAAACTATTTCAAAGTAAAAGGTATCAGAAGCATCAGAATTTTGCATGAAGGTTAGGTTCAAGTGCAAGGTAAATATGTACTAGTTTGGAAATATTCAAATATAATCCTTTATATCCTTAGCTCCAATCTGTAGCAATGGCAACCAATAAACATGTATTTATGTTGGTAGCAGTTTAGCCCTTGCCACTCCAGTAATAGATCAATGTTTAAAAATTCAATACGCTTTATATAATGCAAAGTCTGGCTGCCTTTTTTTTTTTTTTCTTCTTTTTGATTTCCAGTTTGAGTAAAATATAAGATGCAGAAATTCTGAAAAAGAAAAGTTTTACACTCTACAAAGGGCGTAGGGAAATAAATAGGATGAGTTCAAATACTAAGTGATGAAGATAATAAGGAAGTTGGCTTTCTTGAGAATTGGAAAGCTAAATCACTAAAACAGAATTTCAGAAATATGGAAAAGGCATATTGGTGCAATAAAAGACAGGAATGAGAACTAGCCAGACAGCTGCATAGCTGCATTAAGTTAAAAGAGAGGACTCTAAGAAGATTTGGAAATACAAATCCGGATGCATCACATTCTGACTCAGAAAAAAGCCTTGCCATAGAACACTAACACCTAAGAATCACACCTAGAATAATCTAATGAGCAATACATAACTTCTTGAGCAGCCTATACCAGAAAGATTAATGAAGTGGAAGGAAATTAAATGAAAGTAAACAGCAAGTATTAATAAGGGACTTAGGATCTGACCTATGAAGAAAGCTGAAACGAATTACATGATAAATACTTCTAACATATATATTAACATATGAAATTCTACCATATATATATGCTTTTAACATACATATTATATATGTAATGAAATATATAATATATATAATAAAATATATAATATATATTATATATTTTAAAATATATATTAAAAGCATGCATTCTGAGAAAGAAACAACCATTACAATAAGAAAATAGGTTTTTCTTGTAATTATGGTGATATTAAGAATATTAAGGAGACTATCACAACAACTCTTCATAGAAAATATGGAAAACAGGGATATACTGTTCCCAAGGGGGGAAAAAAAGTGATATAATCCCCACCACTTGATTTGTTTAAATTGAGACTTGGCAAAACATTAGTGAAGTTATTGTACAGTAGGTCATGATCCTGTATTGGCAGGGGATGGACAAAATGACCTAGCAGGTCTTTTCCCTCTCAATCTTCTTTGATTCTAAAAGGCTCTAAGTCAGATGCTTCCATCATTTGTCTACAAGATCAGCAGAGCTAGAGCTACCACAGGGAGACCGGTGAGGGTGAATGTAGACTGGCTAATAAAATATCAGAAGCCCATAAAAGTCAAGAAATTCTTTCTCTTTTATTGTTATAAATATATAAGTATATTCTTTTCAGGGTTCAGTGTGAATGACTGCACAGAAAACTAAATTTTTAAGACTTTAAAAAGCAAAATGCAGAGGGATCAGGCTGGAGTAGCAGCAAAGAAGATGTGCAGTCCCCTGCCATCAACTTTTTGAAAATGCAAATCTCAAAGGTAAGGGAGTAGCAGGATTTCATGCACAAACATTTTTCCCGATTTCCATTCTCATAGAAACAAGTTTTTGAATAAAAGCTCCTACCAATAGTTTCATTGATGCCTATCTATGCTATTTCCAGTTTTTCTTTACCATTTAAAAGTATTAGAAAATGTTTGAGAAATAACCCAGAACCAAAGAAAGCTATTTCATTTGAGGATATTCAGGAAAAATCTGGTGACCCTGGTGACAATTAGGGTTTCTTATAATTAAAGCAGGAGGTGGTGAAACACAATAGCAACCACTGGTTATTAAGATCTCTTGTG